AGTGTAATCAGTTAGGGGATTCTGCAGACTGTTGAGGGTTCAGCCTCCTGATGAGTCGGTGAAACTCCGTCGAAACAGTTCGTCACAGCCCCTCGTTTGTTGTCCTCTTCTCCCTCTCTGCCTACGGTTTACCGGGCAGTTCTATTCCACGGCATCCAGACAACACATTAGATGACCAAACGCAGCGCAGAACAGCTAAAAGCACCAGTACTTTTCCCAGCTGTTTTGTTTCAACATGGCCGTCAACTCTCTGCATCTTCTGGAGCGCGGCCTATCGAACCGAAAAGGCGGCAGTGCCAACCTAACCAATTCAATTTGGCGAGAGAAATCAACGCACAGCAGAGATCGGCGTTGGGCAAAAGAGGCTCAGGAGTACTCAGTCTGTTGGCGTACGGGAAGCTGTCCCGTCTCGTTAAGAAGCCCCCAGCATCACAGAACCTATTTTGTCAAGCGGAAAATTCTCCATTGCCAGGCAGGCGGGTACATCGAAAGTGCAGCGTCCTTTGCGCACAACCCCAAGTTTGGAGGCGGTGTTGAGATGCTGGTCGGTTAAGGCTCCAATAAAGCATTTTTCACCTTCCAGCTTTTTTTTCTTTTTTTTTTTGAAGGGCGTCTCTCTTACATTATTGACCACAGAAGGACTCGTACTCAAGATCTTTTCATTAACACTTGCATGCACTTGCATGTACGGGTCGTTCAGCCACAGAAAGGTACAAACTTCCTCCAAATTTTGAACTTCTTCCTAAGTTCCCTTCCTTCCACAACTCGGAAATTGTACGTTTTAAACTTTCAAAAAACATGCAAAGCATTCAAAGCTCAAAGCTCAAAAGTTTTTTAAGATCAGTAGAGTCGAAACTTCAAATTATTCTGAGACTCCCTCTCTTTCATGATGGCAGAGGCTACAGGGATATTATATTACACCGTTTACACAATGCTGTTGTCATTACTTACGGTCAAAAAACCACTCTTCACAGTCCTTGTTATTTCCAGACCCAGTAATGTATTGTGGCCGGAAGGAGCTCCAGTTCTCAAAGAGACTTGCAAGATACCTCTCAACCACTGCATGCCCTGCACTCTCTTTCACGGCATCCTGCAATCGGAGACCAGCAAGATTTGGGGGAAAGAGGGTGGGGGAG